TCTTCAACTTTTTAAATCCCCTAGACTACCACCGAGTATAAAGATTAATGATGGACTACTGTGGAATAATATCGCAAGATCCCAGTTGTTGTGATTCGTCAGCATGTAAGTACATCTAATTTTATTTGATGAAGTAATGCTAATCAGGAAGTAATATTCTTTCAAGTTATTATGAATATTTGATGACGCCTTTTTATGAAGTTTATTTGATGAAGCGAAAGGCATTTGATTTTGATGAAAATTCATTTTATTTTTGAATGATTATTACTTTGAAGAATTAACACTTCCGTTTTCGAATTTGATGTTAATGATAATTAATTAAACAGTTTTGATGAAGTTTAATTGAATAAACTAAAGGTATTTGATTTTGATGGAACTACATTACTGATTATTTACTGAATTGTGATGTATTAAAAAAGTTACTTTGAAGAATTACTTTCGTTTTCGAATTTGGTGCATAAATTTCTTATTTCTTGTGATGCCTATATTTTACAAAGACTGTACAATATTTTTTGTAGTTAATAATATTGATATTATATTTTAACGTGGAATTCTATTTTTCATTCTTAACATAGTCTTATATGAAGATTTGTTTGATGATATATTTTACTATTTGTTTGAATCATATGTTCACAATTTCATTTATGATTTTTGAGTGTTTTAACATCATAGTTATTGTGTAATATACTAAGAAGAATTAATATTATTTTGAAGAATATGAAAAATTAAGAGTATATTTTGGTATACTAATTTCTGAAACCAGAAAATTAATAATTGATGAAATCGAAACATACATATTTTGTGAATTTCATATTTGGTTAAAACAAAACTGATAAATAATGGCTACACTTAACGATTATCCCAACATTGCACAGTCATTAAAAACCGCCAGTACCAAGCATATCAAGCTTTTACATCGTTTAGGTTTTGGCTCAGATGGTGATCGGCAGAATCGTTCTAGGTTACGCAATTTTTCTGGTTTTCCCAAACCATTTAACTTTGAAGATACGAAACAAAAAAAAATTATCAAAGAATTTTCTCTCACAGATTTAATTGCCATATGTACCTTACTATATTTAGAATTTTCCATCGATATTGAAAACTGTGCTAACAATATTCTTACGAATCTAGCTGATGTATCATTATTAAAATCAGATTCCGCTGACTACAGCGACCTTGAAGAAGACGCTTTGGTTCAAAGTTCACCCTCGACGCATAGCGTCGCCCAAAAGAACATTAATCACGCTTCAGATGACTCTTTATGTAAACAAATGGAGGCAAAAATCTCTCTTGAAAGTGCGCCTGGAAATTTATTGCTTTCACAAACACAGACTGTTCCGTTTCAATGTTTTGGCTTAAAAGACATTGTTGATTTGATCAAACCCTTTTCCTCTCGGGATAATTACAGCGTTGAAAATTTTATTTCTGACACTGATGACATTTTTAATCTCTATGAAATCACGAATCCTGTACACCAAGTAATTTTTGTTAAAAAATGCCTTACAGGTCCAGCTTTAACATTAATTAGATCAATCAATTCGTGGAATTACTAATTGGGAACAATTAAAACACCATTTATTAGAGGAATTTTCGGAAAAAATTAATAGCCTTCAATTACATAAAATAATGGAATCTCGTCACATGAAAACATCTGAAACCTTACAAGAATATTTTTTAGCTATGAGAGACCTCGCATACAAAGGTTCTATGGATGATTCTTCTTTGATTGATTACGTTATCAATGGTATTCCTGATTCATCAAACAATGAAATAATTTTATACGGTTGTAAATCCATTCCTGAATTTAAAGAAAAACTGAAGATTTATGAAAAACTCTTTAACAATTCAAAACATTTGAAGCAAAATACCCCAAAGAAATTTACAAATTCCTTTCCCAGTGCTAAAATTGATGCTAAAAGTACATCAGATACTCAACCAATATGTTATTCTTGTGGTTTAAAAGGTCACAAAAGCAATACTTGTCCAAATAAATCTAACGGCAAATTATGTTATGGCTGCCAAAATTATGGTCACGTTCCTTCCAATTGTCCCAAACGTTCTGGTAGTTCTACCACGGAATCTGATCCTAGTTGTTCTACATCTGATAATACTGTAAATGCACTTTCTACTCAAAAATTTTTCTAAACATCCTATGCATGTTGATATTCAACTTAAATGGAAGCTCAGTTAACTGCTCTCTATGACACTGGATCACAAGCAACACTGATTAATGAAGCAAGTATACCGCAAAATTGGTTCTCCACCATTACATCCTTCCAGAATTACATTCTCAGGACTTGGCCGAGATACAGTTCAAAGTATTGGATTCTTTCAGGACTACATTCAAATTGAAAACACTATTTTACCTGCTAAAATCCATGTAGTAACAAACTATATGATTCCTCTTGATGCCATTATTGGAATAGGCTTTTTGCAACAAACTCGATTTACATTTGATAAAAACGGTATTCATTTATGCAACAATAATAATGATCAAATTTTTGTTAATGTTGCTAAAGTTACTGATGATCAGACATTTCCACCTGATCTTTCACACATCTCAAAATCGGAAATTCTCGAAGAAGTTCAACATATCATTACTCCACACGACGTTACAATCCACACGACGTTAACACTGCTGTGAAAGATCTTCAGACAATAACAGAAAATGCAAATCAGTTGAAGAAAACAAGTAAGAAAAATTATGATGCTGCACATGACGATTCAGAATTGGATTTAGATGATGATAATTTGGTTGATCACGATCACAAAGATGATGCTGATACCAATCATGGAGCTCATGACGATGATGATGACGATCATGTTGATGAAGACGGTGATGACACAGACGACGACATGGATCAAGATCATGATATTGATGATGACGACAATCATAACGCTAATGGTGCTGATGCTGATGATGGCACTCATGAAGCTAATGAAGATGATGTTAATCAAGATGACGTTGCTGTTGTTGATGAAGATCATGTAAATGAAGATGATGTTGATGAAGACGAAGATGCTGATGACAGTCATGAAGCTAATGATGATGAGGATCTCGATAATGATCTAAACGTGCAGAATACTGAAGAAACTGTGAAAAATCTACTGAATCCGTTTGAACAAGGATGTGCTGATCAAGCAAACGAGAAAACACCTGCTAAAAGTGCAGAAACTCCCAAAGCACAGACCAATAATCCAAGGAAACCACTTGTCTCTGGCATTCCAGTTAAAGCTTTTGAGGCACAAAAGAATGCTGAAATATTTGGAAGAAAAATTACAATTTCATACACTTTATCTACTTCACACACCAAGGAACGCAAGAAGAGAGCATGGAAGTATAAGCGAAGAAAATTTAAACGAACTTCAAAGACAATGAAATTGCTGACACAGCATGATGATAAAAAAGCTGCATTATGCATTGAAGCTCAACGGAACCTCCTCCGTTTACAGCAAGCACATATACGACAGTATAAGAAACGTCGCAAACCTGCCCGCAAATATAAATTTGGACACCAAATTCCAATCCAGCCTGAACTGAAACTTCCACTTGGACTGAATCTTCGACTTGAACTGAAACTTGGACTTAAACTTCGTTCCAAATTTTTCGGTCCTTATGAGACAGTACATCCCTCTGATTGTTATGAAGTACGAAATATACGCCATGACGAAACCATTATGATGTCAACCTGTGCTGATAAGATGAACTGGTGGTACACAAAGCTAACATTCGCCACCTGGACATTGATTTTTCTGGTGGTACACAAAGCTAACATTCGCCACCTGGACATTGATTTTTTTTTCACTTTCTCTGCTTTTTGTTTTTTTTCTTTCTTTTCAGATCAACCCCCAGGCGAGGACGCCTGGCAAGGCAGAATGGCCGTGTGGTAATTCGCTCCTTTAACTCATCCTCCTTTTCCTAAATCTGGCTGGCAACAGCGACAGCACAGCAGCGAGATACTTCTTCAAGCTGTGTAAGGAAAGGGACAGACTGGCATTCCGATGATGTAAGAACGTGGCGTTGGATGGAGCTGAACCATGCCACTCGAGAACATTGATTGATGAAGCGATTCTGTTTCATGATGAACTTTTTATCTTACTTCCTTTCACACTGTAAATAACATAATCATGTTTATTCTTTCATCATTAAATACCCTTAAAATGCTACTGCCTTCCTCTATTTTAATCCTAACCTCATCCTACATCTATAAAGGTAATATCGTATATTTAAATATTTTATATAAGTTCCGGCAAAGTATGACATCCGGTATTCTATAGAATACCGGCATTTCATACATTGCTGGTAACGTATACATAAACAACACCATGTAGGTTTTATTTAATCAAATAATATCGCGTTTTATCGCTATAGGTAATGATGGTAGGTCTTATGGTAATGATGCTTCTCCATTAAAATATTTCAAGACTTTTCTATATTTTTCGCTTACATGTATATAATTATTATATACGCGTATATTATTAACATTCAAGGTTATACATATTTAAGAAGGCCATAAACGCTGAGCTAACTAATTACACGTTTTAGCAAAATATTTACTCAAGAGAAGCCTCAGAAAATTGAGTGCGTAGAGAAGAAAAAGGGTGTTTTCTGTTTGGAATTGCTACCAGAGTAATGCGCTTGATGTGAGTGAAGTGCTAATGCAAGACATGATAATAAACATGACTCGTTTATTAAGAATGGCTAAACCCACAAAATACATAATAAATTTCAAAGTATATTTATTGCATTTTAATATAATCGTTTAGTAAAAAATCAAACTAAATCGATATAATACACATTATTTTAGTACTTGATACCTTGTGCCTAAATAGTACCTTAATGTGCTAATGTTAAATAGCTAAATGTGCCTAAATATATATATATACATTGAAGTAATATAAAAAATCTTCAATTCAACCGTTCGGTTGGTATTAATCAATCTCCAGTTTTTTTTAAAAAAAAGATATGAATTCTTTAATTATAATAAAGAATAACGTACTTTTCCAGAATTAAGTGAGTCAAACCGTTGCACATGCGCTGTTGTTTCCATCACATACGCATCATCAAGAGTCGGGGTGGGCATGATGACAGATGTGGACTGCAGCAGCTCTCTGTACGTGCCATCGATATACGTTCTGTACACCTGCGTTGTATGAAGTGTCGTTTTGTCGCCATTTACTTCGGTTCCAGTGAAAGCAGAGATGATACCCGTAGGATAAACAACGGGGTCATTACGTTGACCTTCAAAAGAAATAAGCACTTAACGATGTAAATAAGTAAAAAAAAAAAAAAAGATAAAAGAAAAGTGATAGATAAAAATGTAAAAAAAAGTTAATAAGTAATTACGCCGAAGATAACAAGTGAAACATAAATGAATAGAAAATCAAAAAATAAAATAAGTACTAGCATAACATGTCTTAATATGTTTATTAATACCATCTCAGTTTCAAGCCTATTAAAGTATACATCTTAAGCAATTACGTGCAGTTAATGCAAACTACTTATTTACCTATTTATTCTCCATTTTTTTTTTCAATTATGAAAAATTATTGCTGTAAAGCAACGGTCTTCAAACGTTGTCGATTCATTGAACTCTAGGAACTAAAAGTTTTTTTCCGGGAACCCCATCCCATCCTAAGAAAAATATATCTTAAAATAATATTTGATGTAGATCAATATGTTATACGTATTTTATGTAAAGACAATAAAAAAAAACGTATTATATTTTTATTAAAATGTTTTAACATAAATTAATGTAATTTAATCATTAATAGCATTAAATCGTGTTCCGGGTGTCACCCACCCTTAAATTATATTTAGTGAAGGGGGCGCGCATTTTTTTTTTTTTTTTTTTTTTTTTTTTTTTTTTTACACCAGCTGGGGAAGTCTTGCTCTATCCATGTTATCTGCAATCGCACTTCATATTCTGCCTTTAATTTGTTTCTGCATTCGTTTTTGTTGCCGCATTCTTTAAGTAAGATTTTTCATTTAAATATCTGCTTTCTGTAACTATTTGAGAAAATTTCAGATATTTTGCATGAATCTAAATCCAAAAATTTAGGAGCTATTCTTATATCTTAAATTTAAAAATTTTAACGTGGATTCTGTTTATTTGTTAATAATTCGTTCCCTTTCCTATATTAGCAAGCCTTATCATTTAGTGTAACATTCGAACGGATTTTTTATGCAGTCACACTTAATTTTCTCCTCTTGGAAATATTCTCTTATAATTTTCTTCAACTGAAAGAGGTGCTGCACTGTATAATTTTAACAATGACGTCTACTTCAATTTATTTTTCATTAAGAAGCTGTTTAATTTCACAATGTATTTCACATCATTCTCTCGTCATTTCTTTGCCATATGACGACCACATTTTAAGTTTTAAAACTAATTTGTAACTAAATGCATTTTTATATTCTTTGAGTTAACAAACACTAGTCAACTAGTGTAAGTGCTTTATAATTTGCTTTTCGCACTTTTATTTTGACTTGCGGAACCATGAGATTTGACTCGCGGAATCGTAAAATTATGTGAAAAGCGGAAGATGGCTTTACTCTCGCAACGCGAAGACAACGAGTATTCAAACTGCGACAGTAAAGACATCTCATGCTTTTGAAAAATCTACTGTTTTTCATTTACAATTATAATCCGCGTATCACTTACCTACTCTTTGTATCTCTTCACAATTTTGATTAAGCAAACTTGAAAATATTTTATGGCTATTTTTGCGCCATTATAACAGATATAGTAAATTATTTGATTTTAACATATTTGCGAGAACTTATAATTTTATGAAGGAAAATAACCTTACTCTTTCTTTAAACGTAAGAAAAGTGTATAGTTATTATCTTATGAACTTTTGTATGAAATTATTTTAAAACTGATATACTGTATTTTTATTAATAAAATAATATATATATATATATTATTTTTAGTAATTCAGTAATATATTAGTATATAAAAATTTTGATCATTGCTGTGATTTGAAATTCGACCTCCCTGTGCATTAGCGTAAAAAAAATAAATGTAATTTAGTACATGTAAAATTTTGCATTAGATATAATTAAAGCATTTTAACGTATCATATATGAATTAGGTACCACACTTAATGAACTTTGGATTTCTTTTATAATTTTCAGTTAATTTTGCCAGTGCCAAAATTTGGGTGTACTGTGAACAAATGTTTCAAAGTTCTAGCTTTTCAATTATCCGGCTGTTGTTTTTTGAATTTAATTTTTTTCTGATTCAACCATTAATTTATGCAATATTAAATGTAACAACGTTTTTACTTACCATTCCTGTGACTAGTAATTTTGTGATTCTTCAATAAAAATTCTGTTCGGTATTTATGTTATTTACAAACAGTGCATAAATTCGCGTTAAAAACTAACAGTTCGGAATTATCAAAATTTGTGCTTTATTACGTTATTATTAAAAAATCTGATGTGTACACCACATGACTTCCTTGTGCGGAATATTAAATTATACGCATTTTTCTTGCATTTCATTTAAACGTATTGGATTGAATTAAATCTACTTCGCCGACAGCGCATAAACCACAATAGAATAAATGCATTCTTTAAAATTCAATCTAGTATTTGTTTACCATAGCGACACTCTGGCGCTAGATTCACTTAACAGTATTATATTTCGTTCATATTATAACTCATAATTCACAAAATTTATATCACTTAAAGAATAGAATTATCTAATCGTTGCTACATGTTCTATTCAAATACTATAATAAAGCTAGAATGATGTATAAAAGAAATTAAGCAAACAAAACAAAAAAGAAACAGTTTTTCACAGACGATTGAGTATTTCTCATTCAATTAACTCAGTTCTCACTTCGCGACTAGGCAAAAATACATATAAACTCAAAATATCTATATTAAAAATTACGAAGTAAATCTTAAACACTTATTTCCTCGAAAACATTCCAGAAAGGATTAAGCATGATTTAATTGGCAATAATAAATGAAGGTGTTATCTTTGTTGTTGCGAAGCTAAGTTTCTCTAGATTGGCAACAAATCCACTAGTCTGCTGTTTCAAATGTAAACAATCAATGGCCGCCATAAAAAAAAATGGCTTAGCGGCACTTAAACAGCTTTAAAATTGTTGATAATTCTAAAACTATTGCACACAGATTTACTAAAGCATAAAAACCTTAACCGGAAGATAAAAACAACATAATTCAATCATTTTTAAAGCAAAAAATGTACAATTTACAAACATATAAGAGTAAAGAACTGAGATCACTGAGCCGGGTAACAGAGTGGATATATATATAAATATATTTATATACGTTTGGTGCGGCCGATTGCAACGAAAATATGAGGTGTACATTTACATGTTATAGCAGTCCTATATACAAAATATCAACGTTCTGAGGCTACTCGTTTTTGAGTTATGCGAGATACGTAGGTACGTACATACGTTCGTACAGACGCCACAAAAAATTCTCTGGAGAATTAATTTTAAATCAGTTTTATAATTTTTTTGGAGGAAACGAGTCTTTTATTCTGTTCTTACGTACAGATATCACGCAAAAACATGGTTAAATTGCATTCGATAGCGGTCAAATTGGATATTTTCGTTGAAATATGCTGCCTGAAACTTTTCGCGATTACAATACTTTCCTTTTTACTTCGTACAAGGAAGTAAAAAGGTAACAAACAGCTACATATGTTACCAAAATTTCAGTTGTTTCTCAGGAAATACCCAAAAGGAAAAAAATCACCTGTCAATATCAGGGCAATGTAGCCAGTTACAGCCACAAGTAGTGCGTCTCATAAACTATTTCCATATGCTTCAAGGAAGCCGTTAACTGATCCCAGCATTCTCTAAGAGTGCTGCCTTTAAGAGACTGTTTGCTATGGTAGAAGTTTAAAATAACATCAAATGCGTCGTAAAAATGTGTGGTACTTAGCAGTGGGTGTCGCTACTTCTGCGGAAAAAATGATCATCATGTTCGAAATTACAGACACCCCAATCCATCCTTGCTATCGGGCTCCTTCACTGTAGGCCTCATTATAGTCTAAATCGTCTATTGATTCTCTGTAATAGTGATACATGGAACATAGGTGGTTTATCCCATGTGAAAGCGATCCCACATTACAGAATGGATATTTCAATAAGATCATTCTAGTTGGCACATGACATGAGTTGCCCAAGACTATGTATATCATGTGCAACACGTATATGGTCTGCTTGCTCTGCGAATTAGTCCTCTGTCGAAACATATCGCATCACAAGAAACGTTAGCTGCAGTGTGTAGAATTTGGAATGAATCGTGTAAGAAGTGTGAACCCGTCAGCCACAAAGCGACAACATATTTTTATCCATTTCATACCAAAAGGCATTACTACTCATTGTTGAAGACGACTGAGCTGAAGACTTAAATCCTTATCTATTTCTTCTGATGTTCTGTTTATGCGATCATATACTACTATCATTCATTTGTATCATAATGAAAAGAAGATTTCAGTTAAATCTAATGCTTCCGTTTTTTCTTTCTTTCTTTTTCGCTAAAGTCATTGTGCGCATTGTCGTTATAATGTGAAATGGAATTTAAAAACAAAATGTAAACATGCGTTTTTTTTCGGGGGGAAGAAGTTAGTGTGTGTGTATTTATTCCGAGTTGAATTATTTGGGTTGAAACTGCTTCTACTGAAATAAAAGTAGACTTTTACTACGTAAGCTTATGTAAAATACCATAATATAACTAAAAATGCGCTTTTAGATTGAAAAACAGTTTATTGAAATATAACGCAAATAATTTTACCTGTATGTCTCCTTCTTCTTTTTTTCATCTCCACAGCAAATAGTGTTTCATCTCCGGAAGACTCAGGACACAAATAATTGCTTCCATCTTCACCTAAATAATAAAAGTTGTAAATAAGAATCTTTACTCATAAAATAATAAAGAAACATAAACGAATAAAGTTCAAAGAATAAAGATACATCTAAATCTATTGATTGATGAAAATATAATATTCAACATTGACAATTAAAGGATGAATAGCATACATCTAAACCAAATGCAGTTATATATTAAAATTAAACAGATTACTCATTTTAATTTCCATGCGTAAATGATGTCAAAAATTGTTTGGAGTAATTAAATTGCATCTTTGTTTCATGATCCATGTCAAACTATTTATTTTTATTGAAATCTTCATAGAATTCCTTTATAACATAACTTTTCATATTTTATCATTTTGTAGAGGATCCATAATAAAACTGTAAATATTAATAAAATTTCAAAGTTAGTAAGTTTATTTCAAACTATAAATTTAGTCGTATTGTATGAAGCCAAATATGTTTCGGCAATATCAAGACCACCTTCATCAGTGAATCTCAGAAACTTAATTAAATCTTCATTTCATTTTACATTTTATTTCATTTATTTATTTAAACATTTCATGAATCCATCGAAGTTTTGAAGAAAACGCACGAACAACCCGGTTGTTATGATGTCAAAAATTTTATCAGTAACAAAAACATTTCCATTTTATTGTTCCTAAATGATTTAAAATATTCTTAACTTCAAATTAAAAATTATTACATATCCGTATATAGTACTGCGTTTTACGAATTTTGAAACATCCAAATTTACATTAATACAATACTCAATCAATTGAAATCATTTACTGAGATAGCATTTATAAAATAAATTGTGTTACGACGTTACTGTTTGCTGCTGTTAAAGTAATTAAATATATTTCCGAGGATCCTGAGAACGAACTTCTGTTAGAAGGAGTTTATTTTATACAATTTCTGCCTTAATTCGTAGAGAAGGAGAAATCAATTGTTGGTCTAATTAAATCATCTACTTAAGTACAGCTAATTGTCAGAAAATAGGGAAACCATAGCTTTAATTTGATTTTGTTCCACTTGATTTAAATCTAATTAATTTTACTGCACTGAAAATAGTAAACCACTAAAAATAAGTTTGTTCTTAACTTTTAATTCAAATATATGATGATGTTTTCGACTTCATTTACATTTATAGTTGTAATTTAATGCAATGTGTTGCATGAATTATCAAAATGAAACACTAAGGTTATCTCTCACTCTTTCTAAGATATGGTTTGATTTGGTTTATTTGATAATTCAAAGCACTCGAGGGCTATCTGCCTATCAGGAGGGATGCCTTCGTGGAAACTGTAATAGAAAATAGCCGTAATAGAAAATTTACACATAATGGAGAAAAACACGTAAGAACCCATGCAGCCAGCCCGTTCGCCGGACTTCGAGCCCCGGTCCGAACTATCAGTGTTTAAAGACTTCGCTCGGCCGCTGCCCTTTTCTAAAATGTGAAAAAAGATTTATCATTTTAGCATAAGCAATAATATCGTGGCTGAAAAAATACTAACAGCCCCTGTACACAGTACCTGAAGATACTGTTAGTTAATTGATATACTGCACATGTTTTCTTCCTTCCTCGCATTTTACATTCTGTCCTATGAAAATGTGCCAATGGTTACAGCTATAGATATCACATGTTCCGCTATGCATTCACATGTCCCACCAGCGGCCAAGCGGTGGTACTGAACAGTGGTAGTATGACCTGGGTTAGATCCTAAGCGAACGAACTGATTGCATGTGAGATTTCGTGGTTTTCCCCATGTGTAACGGGGATACGAGCCAGTTTCTCTTAGAAAGTCCTTCACGAAGGTATCCCTTCCCTTAGGCAGATAACCCTAGAAGCTTTACTGGAGCAAAAAGAAAGAAAAAAAAAAGCTGTTTACATGCTTTGCATCGCAAGTATTCGTGTTGTTGCAAATATCTTCCAAAAGTGTGACGAAATCAGACAAAACCCAACAAATCGTTGACACTAAGAAAGTCGAAAACAAGAAGGGGATTGGAAAATATACCCTCTCTTGAAATGCCTAAACAATCCAAGATGCGTTCGGCTGAAGCCTGATGCTCACGGCATTTATTATAGAAGCCAAAGACTCCTGCCATAATAGAAAGAAAGGCACTTAATGTGACGCTTGAAATTGCAGTCTGGGAGCCTCTGTCAAGTGTAAGGGTTAGAGCCAGTCTTGCCCTAGAACCCAGACACCACTGATGAGTGGGAGCATCAACCACTCCAGCATATTTTGTGATTTAGAGATAATAGTTCCAAAAACGTAAGGGAGGAGGGAATAGAATACGTACTACCCTCCTTTGTCATTTTATTCGCTATTTCTTTGCCTATATCTACATGACATGTGTTTCGCTGGAGATGGACATCATAGTGCAGCGAAACCAGTTTTAACTAATGTAGGATGGAAACTTTGGTTTTATCTCCCACAGAGATCAAGTTGCTAAGTTGTTGAAGGAAATTACGACTGTCTGAAAAGATCCATAGGTCTCCAAATTTTTTTTTCAGGTATAGTTTTGAGTCCCATATCAGTTGCTATTAGTTAGTTTCAAATCCATACGCATTAAAAAAATATACATTATCAAGAATCCTTACCGTTCTTTGTCACATAGTTTTTTTTTTTAATGTTTAATATATTCGATTATTAACACTGAAGTCCTTGAGGTAGTGGGAATGATAAAGCAGGTGTTAGTATCTTGGTATGTAAAATCAAAAACGTAAGGCAGCCGATATTTACAGCTTTTTCACTGAATAGTCAGATCAACAGTCTTGGTACTTAACGTTTGTTTCATGATTCGCATGAGTTGATTCTATATAAGTTTACAAGCTGTGAAAAAATTTAATTTTTGCCTTTTCATGGAAGAAGATGCATTTCTAATAGCCATTATATATTTCTAATTTTGTTCTTAAAAATATGAAAATATTATTAAAAGCACCTTATTTATAAATGGTTTCCTTAGTTATACTTATCTATTATGTTTTTTGGTGAGCATAGTATACAAAATGTTATATGTTATGGGATTCGATTTGATGTTTGTTTTTAAATAACGTATTTTTCAAATGCTAGTAAAGACAGTAATATGAATGAATTGCGCACTTAATAAACAAGGTATAAGAAGGTATGGTAAATTTTCATTTGGCAACAATAGTTCTTGCATGCAAACTTTTAACCGTTGTGAGACTTTTTTGTCTCTATTTGCGTAAATCTGGAACTTTTCAATAAAGTCAGTTTTATTTAGTTACAAAAATCGCCAAAGAGTACACTTGCATTTAATTAGTCTCGATCACAGTTGTTCTTAAAACCGCTTTCAGCCGTTTTCTGACCTTTATTTTTTTCCCTTCCTTTTCTTGTTCTTTCTGTTGCAATAATCATTTACTTATGTGACGGATAAAAATTTAATTTCGTATTTTAAAAACAATATATTTGATTAGTTTTAGTCGTAGAAAATTACGTGTTTTTAAAAAATAAAAAAAAAAAAAAAAAAAAAAAAAAAAAAAAAAAAAACTTGTTTATATTCTACATTTCTAATGCGTCATCTTTTAATTATCAACACTGATTTTCTTTTCGAAATCTATGATATTGATAATATTTCACTGCCAGAATTACAAAACAAATACAATGAAAACGCTTAACGTATTTTATTAAATAGCAAAAAAATAGCAAAAATAAGAAGGTATGGTAAATTTTCATTTGGCAACAATATTTTCTTGCATGCAAACTTTTAACCGTTGTGAGACTTTTTTGTCTCTATTTGCGTAAAATCTGGAACTTTTCAATAAAAGTCAGTTTTATTTAGTTACAAAAATCGCCAAAAGAGTACACTTGCATTTAATTAGTCTCGATCACAGTTGTTCTTAAAACCGCTTTCAGCCGTTTTCTGACCTTTATTTTTTCCCTTCCTTTTCTTGTTCTTTTCTGTTGCAATAATCATTTACTTATGTGACGGATAAAAAATTTAATTTCGTATTTTAAAACAATAATATTTGATTAGTTTTTAGTCGTAGAAAATTACGTGTTTTCTTAAAAAAAAAAAAAAAAAAACTTGTTTATATTCTACATTTCTAATGCGTCATCTTTTAATTATCAACACTGATTTTCTTTTCGAAATCTATGATATTGATAATATTTCACTGCCAGAATTACAAAACAAATACAATGAAAACGCTTAACGTATTTTATTAAATAGCAAAAATAACTAGCTTTTTAAACAATTATAATAATGAAGCATTATATAAATGAAAACTGTGTGATGGAAAATTAGTTTACCCAGGCCAATAGGGAATGTAAACCAGTTAAACCGCATAATAGTATGCTTTGGAGGCAAACTGAAAACAAGATTATGGGTTACTAGTGTTTTAATCTGCCACCAGATGGCCCTGCTTGAACGATACTAGCAGGAAGGCGCCGGATTTAGCAGAGGTAATGGGCTTAAGGTAGGAGGATAAACTACTGTCTCGTTCGCTCAACGTAAGAATAAATGTAATTATGTATAGTATATAGTATTAATAAAACAAATTGCAGAAATATTACTGTGTGATAAATGTCTGAACGCCATACAGATCGTATTTAATACTGGAAGCAAATAAATTTTTACGATAACAATTCAATCTCATATTTCGGGGTAAATAGACTGGTATAGTGCATGCATGTATATACGACTTCATACCCTGTACTACAGATATATGTTTAGAAAGGTAACAGGTAACAAGAAAGAATATAAAAAAAATTAAATAAAATAACAAAAAAAGTCTAAAAGCTTTCAGATTTTACATTACGCTCAAAGGGGCGTTTTTTTGGTAGGGTACGAACTGCGCCAAATTTGATCGAAGATCCTCGTCCTCCTCTTTTCTAATCTACGAACTGCACGACCTTTCCTGTCCCCTATTTCTTTCCCAAGAAGTTTGGGTGCTACAAAAAGTCATTTATCGCCATTAATGGGACATTCTATTGACACTGCAAGCCTTTATTTTTCGTTTATCAATATTGTAAAAATTGTGCATGCAAA